GGAAAAGGGATTAAAAAATGGAGGTCACAAGGTTTGAAATAAGGGGATTTGAGTCAAAAGGTTTATTTTAAACAAGAGTTCAGGCTTAGAAACAGAAGCTATACAGCTTTTCTTTTTGTTCTATGCACTTTTTCTTTAGGGTTGAGTGCAAAAAATTAAAGAATTCTCGACAGAATTAGACGAAATCAAGAATTCTTTGCTGTGTTTAGCAGTTTTCTAGAAACATGAGCAGACTTGTGGAAAATAAAACAAAGAAAGATCCAAGAGATTATTAATAGTCTGGCAATTCTTTGTATAAACTTACACTTCCACCTCCTCCGGAATGAGTAATTATATTCAACATCACTAGTGTCAAACCTATTAGGTGATAATCACATGGTATTTTTTCGAATGTCCATAGATAGAGTGTCAAATATCAAATTTTTGTATTGAAGTTACACTTTAACCCCTTTTAGAATTGAGGTTCAACACCCAAGTAAAACTTACCCTTTAACTAACTTGTAAGGAAAGGAAACTCAAAGTACTTATAAATTCATAAGGCATGTTTTTCAAAAGCGATGCAAGATACTACTAGATCTTTAAGTTTAAATCTCATCTCTAATTACTAGATATATAAAAGATTAATAAAAATATATATTTCCACTGAAACTGATACCGATTAGCTATTTATTTATTTCCCAAGATTTTAGGAAAAAAATGTTGATAAACCGCAGGCTATAGAGCTCTTTTTATTTAATTTACTGTAAGCATTGAAGTGCCCAACTAGCAAAGTGTAAGTTTGAAATAAAGTAGAATTATCTTTACAAGACAACATGAACCAGAAAAGGTTCAGACTTTAAAAGGCAACTCTCTCATGCAGTAAATGTCATCTACTCCCGTAACTCCCCCCTGAGAATTTTTATTTTTTCGGTCATTTTCTACCCCTTTTTTACCTTTCTGTCGTCAATCTTTCATTTGTAACGCAAATGCTATATGGGTTTGTATTAGATCCGTGATGCATCCAATTTCTTCGTTAACTGGCAATTCTAATGTCACTTAATAAAAAGTTGGGACCCCGAATTTGTGTTTTTACGTATCATTGTGGTGTGTCATTTGCTGGGAAAGCTACAACTAAATAAGTGGGCAGTGTATAATATTCTGCTAAGAATTTCCCAACAGAATAAAAGCTTTGTATTGATAATGTTTGGATGTTTCCATTGGAGGCTAGAGCTAGATTACAACTTTTTGCCCAATTTTGGCGTTTCTTTCACATGGGATGATGAAAGTCAGTCAAAAAATATACGTGTTATTATCTCTACATACCCTTTTTTAAATTAAATTACCGTATCATAATTTATTTTGCTCTACCTTAACGTGACATAAGCATGGAAAGTAAAAATGAAAATCTTATTAACTTATTCCGACCTTAGGTCAACTTTAGAGTTCATTGATTCGATTAACAAAAAGTCAAAATTTCTTCAAATTCATTTTGAATAGTTTAAGATCTTAAGTATTATTCAAAACTAAGTTTGTACGTGTTGTAGGAGGTTTGGAAAAGGTAAATGTATATGTATGTAGCTCTAGTATTTNGCCATTCCAAAAGTGCCCTTCCCCAGAACTTCAGCAGAAGCCCTTAACAAATCCTCCAAATCAAATGCATAGTTGCATCCCTCGAAGAAAACCAATCTATTATTTGCATCTTGGCTCCGAGAAATTGCTTTCTCGGGTGACATGCCTCCTTTTTCCAATTTACCAGGAAAATCATCCTCTGTCTTTCTCTTAAGAAGGCAAACAAACAATAGAAAACCAAAACCAAGAAGCCCGACAACAGAAACAGCTACAACTATTCCCAGCAAAACTCTTTCACTCAATTTTCCTACACTCTTACTTTTAGGGTTTTCATCACGAGGAACTAAAACGACAGGAGAACTGGAAACAGTATACTCCAACAAAGAATCATTATTACCCAAAAAAACTGATTTTGGGAACCTTTGAAGTAATTTGGGGACTGTGCCATTAAGATTATTGTATGATAAATTAAGAAACTGCAAATTTGGCAAATGCGAACCAGGAATCTCACCAGAAAGTGAGTTGTTAGAAAGATCCAAACTGGTGAGCTGATTCAAATGCATAATCCAATACGGAATGCTGCCATTGAATCCATTATTAGACAAATTAACAACAGTCAAGTTCTTCCACACAGAGAAATCCGAAGGCAGAGGACCCTTAAAATTGTTGTACTGAAGATAAAGATAAGAAAGGTTTTTAAGATTACCAAAATCCAAAGGAAAACTCCCATTAATACCATTGGATCTGAGGCTCAAGATCTGCAATTCTGATAAGCGGCTCAATGTATTCTCCGGTATAGGTCCATGAAAACCAACCCCAGGTAATCTTAGTGAAATTACCCTCGAGCCATCTTCACTGCATACAACTCCAGTCCAATTCTTGCACACTGGAAATTGCTCATTCCAGTTCAAAGCCCTCAAATGAGGAAGCTTTGCAGCAAAATCCAGCAATGCCTGCTTGTCACTTTCAACAAGAGTTGCAGCAGCATTGCCATGAATTTGTAACAATAATAACAAGAACCCTTCTAGGAGAAACAGGGTAAAAATTTGTAACCTCTTCATTTCAAGAATTTCTTTTTTCTTGGCTCCAAAATCTTACTAATTTGAACTAAACAGAGAAGCTGAAAGTCTGAATAAAAAAGAAGCAAATTCCAAGAATGGCGTCTGAAAAGTAGAGTGAGATTCTGG